GCAATTTGATGTTTTGCAGGTTTGAGTTTGAGGTTTTCTTGAATTCAGTTGATTTGCAATAGTTTTAGTTTGCCATTATATGTTCTGTTCTGCAGCCAAAATACCAATGATTTAGCCCCCAAAAGCCGTGCATCTGCTTGCAAGAGAGTGAAATTAGTGAATGTAAAAATTTACTCAGTATGATAATTGATATTTAATGTGTTGAAAGCCATCAAATTTTTCACTACTGTAACTCGCTGCTCACTTCCTTTTGGGATTGATTTATTTTTGACAAACAAAGCTCATAATCTTATATAAATAATTTTTCTGCACATTTTGATGAACAGAATCGGTGTGAAATGTTCTTGCAAAATTATTGAACAAATATTAATTTTGTGTTAAATTTTATATTTCTCCATTTTTACAGAGCATCGACTTCTTGAACAGGTTGTTGACTCAACAAAATTACTACACACCACAGCTTCTTATTGCAAAGTGAAGTAAGTATGCTTATATTATTGCTATCTTAGAGAGGTTCTTTTGACCTTTACATAAAATTTCAGCCAGATTTTATTTACCTATTTGGATCAGGAAATTGTTTTTTAAAATAACTTTCCTGCAAGGTTATTAATATTATGTACTTTCCGCATTGGTTCGTTCTGAGGGCACATATGTTACTAGCTCATAAGAGATTTATTAAGAAAATCAGTTTGCTGTACCCAGACTGACTGAACTGAATGAAATGTAGCCACACTTTTTGGTTCTTTTGTGGATTTTTTCGTACCAGTGTGACTTTTAAAATTTTGAAACCTCTATAAAGTTTCCTGCCTTGTCAAGCTTGATTATTCATCTTTGCATATATATATGATAATGTTGCAAGTGATACTGTGCAGTGACTGGAACAATTCAGACTGTCTGCCTGTGTGTCTGTTTGTCTGAGATTATCAATTTTTTTTTCAGATCTCCAGATGTGTGCTTATCCCCTGACAAGAAAATGATAATGTGCTGGCATCCCGAGCCAGAATTTCCATATGAAGACAGCATGGTATGTGCATGGGGAAACTGTGCGCTGTTGTTTAAGACTAAAATAGAATTAGTTGTAAATTAAAGTGTATTATGTTGTGTGTTGCTGTCATGTCATTGTTTTTTGTTTTGTTTTGTTTTTTTAAATTTCAAAGGGATTTTCCAGACTTATTTCTAAAACTTGAACAATTTGCCTTTAAAAGAATGTTATAATGGCAATACATTATTATATATTATATTTATATTTATATAAATTTGTCTTTGGTAGAATATTTGCTTATGTATTTTATATGATTTATTTCTGGCTTCTGACTGTGAATGGGAATTAAATAATAGTAACATTTTCTCTTTTCCTATTGCTCTGTACTTTTCGTGTTGTAGAAGTACTCTACATCTGTGAAAATATGAATTTGAATTTTATCAATGTCACAGTCAATCATTATCATAAAAGGTAATGTTTCATCTCCAATTTTCTTTTCACAACTGAAGCCTTTGCCCCGGGACAATACAGAACTGACTGAGGTAAGGGAAACAACTCATTTTCAAAACTTGATTTGTTCTTTTCCTGTATTATCATAAATAGGCCTACTTTAAAAAAAACTGTAGTAGTTGTAGTTGTTATTATTGTTATTTTTGTTCATATTATTATTATTATCATCATCATTTATTATTATTATTATTTTTGCAGCTAAGGTGGTCTATATTTTTTTTTTAAACATACACCTTTTTCGTATTTTCCTTTGAAGGTGTATGCTTGTCTGCATGCTTTTTTATTTTTTATTTTTGAAAACTAGTTTGTGAAGTGGTATTTATTTCCTTTGTCTTTTCACTAAAAGTAAACCTTTTTTTAGGACTGGGTCACATGATGGTTAGTAAGGCATTGGCATTTATTACCTATAACTTTTTATTGTTAAGCTTTAGTAATAGATGTGCTGATTTTCAAGTGTTGAAATCTGACCTTTATATTCTGAAACAGGAATGTAAGGATTTCAGCAATATGGGCTGTTTTTTTTATATCATATATTCTGTGACAAATATTATATATAAAAGAGTTAATATGATTTGCCTCTTTTTTGTTGATTAGGGCGAGTCTGTCCTGAAAGTGCAATATTTGGTGGAGGAGAAACTGAAGAACAGGCCGGACGGACCCACCGACAATGAGCTCACTCAGCTGTTTTACACTTCCAAAGATTATTTCAAGACAAGGTAGGACACTGCTGCCCTTTTTCCTTTTTGGTTTGTGTAAAATGTTTGCATCCTGTTGTCTGTGGAGAAACGCAAACTGAGATTGTATGGGCACATTACAAGATCAACAAGACTTGCAAAGATGATCCTACAGGGCACTGTAAAAGGAGGGAGAGGGAAAGGCAGACAGAAAAAGAAATGGGAAGACAACATACATAACGAAATGGACAGGTTCAAAGTTGGGTGAAGCCCTTTGAAAGGCTGAAAATAAAGAAGGATGGAGAAAAGTGGTTGCCCAATCATCCTTGGTGCCCCAATGGTCATTTAAGACTAAGGGATAAGTAAGTCTTTCGCAGTGAAGATTGGTGATATTAAGTTAAGAAATTTGCGTGTCTTTAATGGGTATTTGGCTTCTACCCATCATTTGGGTCCCACAGGTTTTGACTCTTTGATGCTGTCTCCTGTAGCTTATTAGTGAACTCAGGCTCATCATGCATGATGCCAAATAATAAGGATGACTCAGCATTTAAGCAGGTGGTCACTGGAGTGTGTCCTAAAGCTAGATGTGATAACCTCAAGCTGAAAAACAGGGTGCTGCACAGTGTCAACCAGCAACAGTGTTTCCGTAAAACTGTCTGTATTTGTGTGTTATTGTGTTTTGTGTGACACTGATGTAACCTCAATACTCTTAATTATTTTATGTTTGCATAATTAAATACTTACCATAGTGACCTAGATTTCCCCATAATGATCAGTAAAAATGGTATTACATTTTATTTGCTAATTTTATCCTGTATTTTTCAGACCATTTTAATAAATGACAAAACTAGGAACTCTCTTAACCCTATCCATACGCCCTCGAGTCATTTTGTACCCCTGGGGTTGTATTCTTTACATTTTAGAATACTTCTAGTACGAAGATTTTAGTATTTCTCAAATATCATTTTGACAGACTGCTATGCAAAGCATACGGATCGGATTAATGAGTTAATTTCCTCTTTGAAAGTGGTGGCAAAGAGTTCCCCTGGTCGTATGGATGCGATAGTAAAATACGACGTACGGATAGGGTTAATAAATAACAAATTCAAAACTAGGAACTCTCTTAACCCAGAAGGCTGCTTTTTATGGTGTATTTTTAGATATTCTGTAAGGCCAATGGGTTTAGGACTAACCATGTTTGAGTAGTCTAAGATAGGGACTTATTGGGATGTCAAGATTCAGGGTTCAAAGGTTTAAGAATACTGGAACCCTTTTGAATTAAAAAAATAAAGTTTTACTCATATACTCCAGATTCCATAATACTATGTTCATCAATTTTGACTAAGAAGACACCCCCGAAATTCTGATTCCAATTCCTTTCATAACTTTTAGATAGAATTTTCAATTTCTTCCTTCTCCTTCTGATGCGATCTATAGAAGCAAAAGCATTTGTTTAATAATATAATATGTTTACTAATATTGCTGGGTAGATTTTGTTAACTATTAGTATTATGTTCTGTGCTTCACTATGACTTGTAAATTCATAACTTAAGTGGCTGATGGAAATTCTAGATTATAAGTAATGGCATTTGGGACGGTTTTTTTCTAATAATATTATGTGAATTCACGTTTTATTTAATTGAGTTCAGTTGCATCATGTCTTTTCTGGTTTGTTGATGACTTGCTTCGCTTTGTTTAAAAGCTTTGACTTGTCTACATATATAAAAATATAAAGACCCTAACTTGTGAGTTTTTGCTGCATAGTTGCCCCTAATCAAGGACAGTATTTCAGTTTGAAATAGTATTACCCATTTTACTCTGTGCATGGATTTGGAATGAATATAGGGCTATAGACTGAAGCTTTAGAAATTTAAGCTTTTTTCTCTTTACTTTTGTTTCAGGCACAGGACAGAGAAAAGAGTGAAGATGAGGAAATTTCACCCCAAAGACAGAGACGGATTATAGCATTGTTAAGTGATTATTAAAGAAATTTATACAAACTACTTTTTGAAGTTTAGTTTGTAAACTGACTGATTTGTTTTAAATGTTGCCAGAATTTTGTTTTATTTATAAAACATTTGGGCCTGTGCAATGCCTTTGTCAGGGGATAGAGTCACTTCCATGGTAGAATGCTTGGTGCGTTGCTTGGACGTTAAGCTAAAAGGAAGTCTTCCAGGCAAGAGAAAAAATGTGTGGCGTGTTAAAACAGGCACTCGTCAAAATAGTGAAATATAAGAAACCAACATTTTCGGGTCGTTGGGCAAATCTTACACTGCTGACATACATAGCAATACCAGATTTGTGTCTCTTAGCTACTGCAGACTCCTTATACTTTACTGAAGTGCGCAGGCTAGATATTAGATCTACCATTGAACACTTCTTTGACATACAATTAATGGTCGCTTTAAACACTTTGCCTTTGTAATTCATATTTTGGGGAAAATCCAAAGAACCTGGGTGGTAAACATCGCCAATTGGCGAGATGAGGCAGCAAAGTGTTAAGGCTATCCCGAAAAATGCTGTTTTGAGAAAATCGAAGGTAACGTTTTTGCCCCTTGTTCAGTTACTTTAAAAGACGAGGAGAGTTTTCTCTATAACCAAACAAATATACACACCAATGAAACCAAACTTCTCCTATAGGTACGACAATGCCCACTTTTGGTGTAGGTCTAGATTTCTGGAAACCCCTGAAATCTGGGTTAGTCCGCTTGTCCTTAAAAGCGACCAAATATGTCCATGGCCTACACTGTTAACATACACAGGAATACCAGATTTGTGCCTCCTCGCTACTGTAGACTCCCCATGAGGTGCACAGGCTAGACACTAGATCTAGATTTACCATTGAACACTCCTGTGACACACAATAAATATGTCCATGGCTTTTGTTTCGTTAAGTGTTTTATGGCGCTTGCAACTGCATAAGGTCGTATGAGCACACTGGATACATTAAACTATTTCAGTTTGGTAGGAATTAATTTTTAATTTTACCTAAGTGGCGGCTGAAGCCTACTCTGATTAATTTTGGACCAGCAAGGGATCTTTAACATGCCCCACTTGCACACGAGACCTCCATTTTTCTCCCTTATTCGAGAAGGATAGGTGTTAGATTTTACCTACCCTAAGATCAGGGGGGTGGCTGAAAGACAGCGTTAAGAAGGAGCCAAGGACTAGCAGTAGGAGGCTGCAGAAAGAGTCGGGCTCTCAGAGAAGGCAAAGAGGGGAGAGGGGTGGGGGCAGAAGTGGAGACAAAGCAGATGCCAGAGAGAGCAGAAAAAGAGCTGAAGGAGAAAATTTTAGAAAACAACAATTTTCCGTCACTGTCAGCTTTCGAACCGGGGACCTGTTGGATAAGAAGCGAACATCGTAACCTCTAGACCACGAGAGCCCCCATCCATGGCCTACACTATTGAGACACATACACAACAATACCAGATTTGTGCCTCCTCGTGACTGCAGACCGCATACTTAACTGAAGTGCGCAGGTTAGACACTACACCTACCAATGAACACTTTTGTGACATACAGTAAATAAGTCCATGGCCTATACTACAGAAGAACACGGCTACAGCGGGACATTTGGTTCCAGAAGAAAAATCTCGCTGTAGGCGAGTTCCCGCTATAGGAATGCAAAGGGGAAATTGCCGAAAAATTTCTAAAAATCCACATGATTAACTCCTTTCCATATCAATAAAATTTGCACTTAAGATTAGTCTTCCTTTTCTTGTCAACTTCGCTGGTTAACGTAGCCTTTTATTCGAATGAGAATCATTTCCTTTTGTCTTCGTTGGAAGCCATCTTTTCCTCGGTCCCGTTGCTTGTGCTGTCTATTGTACTGGTGGTAGGCCTACTGTAGAACTGGAGAAGTGGATGCGTGCGTATGCCTGAGCATCAACCATCAAAGTTCTCCATGAATCCGGAATCACACACTACACGCTCTCCTCTTCTTTTACTGTTTGGCCTGGCCTAGCTCTATGGCCTATACGCTCTCATACAAAGCGTTTAAGCTACGACACATCACTTTTGGAGTGGCTCACGTAACGCGTCTCTTTGCAACCTGCCCCACCTCACTCATAACTGGACTGGCCAATCAACACTGCACCTCTGACTACCAGTTTGGAGCCTGTCTACAGCCCCCCAGCCAGAGCTCGCTCGATCTCTTCCATCTTTCGGGCCTTTCCTTGCCCCACTAAACCCGAGCACAGATAATTGAGTTTACATAGAGAAAAAAAGGGGGATTCCGGTAAGGTCCCGCTGTAGGGATGGTCTCGCTGTAGCGCGAGCCGCTATAGTCGTGTTCTACTGTAATGACATACACAGCAATACCAGATTTGTGCCTCCTCGTTATTGCAGACTCCCCATGAGGTGCACAGGCTAGAACTAGATCTAGATTTACCATTGAACACTTCTGTGACATATGATAAATATGTCCATGGCCTACACTACTGACATGCATGCACAGCAATACCAGATTTGTGCCTCCTCGTTATTGCAGACTCCCCATGAGGTGCACAGGCTAGAACTAGATCTAGATTTACCATTGAACACTTCTGTGACATATGATAAATATGTCCATGGCCTACACTACTGACATGCATGCACAGCAATACCAGATCTGTGCCTCCTCGCTATTGCAGGCTCCCTATCCATAACTGAACTGAAGTGCACAGGTGAGATACTAGATCTACCACTGAACACTTCCGTGACATGACGATTAGTATGTCCATAGCCTACTCGATGGACCTCGGACTCGCAGATAGGTCATTGACTTATCCTCTATCATGTCTGATCTTCCCTTGAGAGCATTGTTCAGTGGGCAGTTTTATGTCCAAAGACAGTATTCTGTTCATAAAGATACTGCACACAGAGTCAGATGTTAAGTACAAAAATACAGAAGAAAAAGAACAAGTCAAAGAGCAGATATTCGTTTACCTTTTTATAAATTTATTTGTTACACTTCGCCAGAGAGCGAAAAATTCACACAAACTTTTATAGCCATTACTTTCTCTAGCAGAACATTAACAAGTGTATTTTAAAAAATGCAGTATATTCACAAGTATGATTTTAATATCTGTGGACAAAATAAGTCACATTAGTTTTTGAACTACAACATAGCATGGCAGTTTTTATACACAACAATGGCCCCTCTCATACGTTCCAGGGACAAAGCAAAATACAACGCAGAGCAATTTTATGACCATGGTAAACCCCAGTGTGGGTTCCTGAATAACCCAAGATGGCAAAAAAATCAAACTGCAGTCTTCCATGACTATACTTGAGCATTAAAAAGGGGGTGTGCTTAGACTGAAGTTGAGATTTCTTCTCGCAATTTGTCCTAAAGTTAAATTGGATCTCAATTCTAATCGTGTCGCAGCTACTACCGTCTTCTCTTTGTTTTCAGGCAATATGGACACAATCTCGGAAGTGGATTTTGAATGTAGGTTTTTTTTACGCCACCATCGACACAATTTAGATCATTTAGGAAGCGGGTTTCTGGCCCTGCCTGTGACAGCCAACCCAGGCTGAGAGGGATACAACATCCCGGCAGTAATACCGAGATACTCGATAACAATTTTCTCCTCACTCGGGGAATCGAACTTAGGTCTCCTGCATGCAACAACGAAGCACCTAACAGCTCTACACCACAGACGCCAGTTCCAAACTCGGAGAGGAGCCAGAAAGTAGACAAAGAGACAAAAGCCACACTGAAAGAGGCTGGAGCACACCACACCAGAGCATCCATTGACATGACCTACACAGGAAGAGAGAGGAAAAAAAAGGGCAATCTGCTAAACATTCAACATCCCAAACCCATCTGCCACTTTACCACTTCTACTACTAAAAAAGAAATTGGTATCGTATCTTAAAACTGATCTATCTTCATGAATTCTTCATAGGGACTGAGGAGGGATAGACAATCAGTTCCACTTGAACCACATTTACAAGCAATGTTCTGTTGCCAAGCACATGCATACAGAAGGGGAAAAAAACATTTCAGACACGACCATTGCATTATTTTCATCATCAAGGATAAATGATCAGACCAAGGTGAAGTATGGTCCCAAGGCAAAGATGTTTTTGTTAATACACAGGGGAAACAATGGATACAATTGCACAAAGTAAATTTGATGAACGCATGTGAAGAATCTCTGATGCAAGATTACTCCTGGTATCATGTCGGAACGTAGCTGTAGCCCCCACCAAACCATGAGATGTGCGTACTTTAGCGAGTCGGGATAGAATGGACTTACTTGAATTCACTTTCACATTTCTTTTTGCATGAGCAAAACTCAATGCAACTCTTTGCACCTACCAAATAACATTTTAACCATAAACCAACTCCAAAGAGGAAAAAACTTTGCAAAAAGTCTGCTTTTGAGGCCTCATTACTGTCAGCCATATTCAGAGAATATTCACTTCTCATGAAGTAAAAAAACCCAACAAACCAACCAAGCAGATTCCCCACAAGAGCAAGAATTTAGAATTAAGGTTACTTAAATATAGCCCCCCCCCCCCCAATAATACTTGGCAACATATTCCATTCTGGTGACTACCCAACTGAAACCCCATAATAGGTGATCAATTAATTATTCTTTTGAGAAAAAAAAATATTCCAGTACTAAATCAGTAATAGTGTAGGGAACGCAATATGTAGAAGTAGACCAGCTTAGAAAAGAAGGAGAAGCCTTATCAATTTGGCAGTATATTTTTACCAGCTTTCACTATGATTGAAAAGACTAGTCCAACAAAGGAGAAATTTAGCTACTACATTTCATTGCTGTTTCTGAGATCAGAGCCTGAATTTTCCCACAAAAAGCAGGGTGTTTTTTTTTCCCAGTATGAGAAAATAGCTGTACATAACATGTCAGGTTTTTTTTTACACAAATGCCACATTGAAAAAAGTGAACTTTCATATTTACACTTGATTCTACATGATGATGAATAAAACATAAGCAATGTTACAAATGCCTCGATAAGAGAATGGGAAGGAAAATAGCACTGTACAGTTTGTACAAAACCCATCTAACCTATCTCGATCGTTCCCTGCAGGGAAAAACAAACCTAGTTGTTCCGCTTCAGAACTTCTGCTGTCTGTCTGTGCATGATACGAAAGAAAATGTGGAGTGTTCAGGTCTACTTTTCTTCTGCCTTTTTTCATCAAAAGGTCAAAAGCAAAATTCTTTTACAGATGCCAGCGGCAGTGCAAACCACTGTTTCACATTGAACTGAAACAAACAGGTAACTAACAAGTAAAAAAAAAAACACGAAAACCCCCCGAACTAAGTCAATCTATGCTTAACACACAGTAAGAATCAAATGTACAACAACAGTTAAGGGGTAGGTAAGTACATTACACAAAGAAAGTGAAACAAAACCACCCCCCCCAAAGCCAAAGATGTTTCTGAGACTGAAACAGATCTAAAAAAAGATGCTCAAAACAGACTTTCTAAAATCATAAAACACAGGAAGTGATATTTCCCAAAAACTCAAACAAAGTCGTGACCCAACAGTTTAAAAACAACAAAATACCCCCCAAATCTAAAAACTATATCTAGTAATAGGAAACTGAAAGTCCAACACGTCAATTATCCCCCGAAAAAGTTTAACTAGTTCACAACTTTTTCAAACAACCTAAACACATTTTGGTTTTACTCTTAACCTAAGATCGAAATAACAACATAAATGATATATAACGTTCAATAAATGTAAATAATAAACAACAAAGACTGATGACAAGCCACAACAACTCATGTGCCTAACAAAAGAAAAACCAACAAGATTATACCGATAAACACACAGAAAACTATATGGATACAACAAAACAAAACCTCATTAAAATGTGACTTCTGCCTGTTGCAGAAATATGGCAGTGAAGAAATACTAACATCATCGTCTCATTAGGGAGGGAGGGAGGGAACAAGAGTACAGCAAGACATGAAGTTGATGGGGGGGGGGGGGGGGGGGGTGAACGCATGAATATATTCAACATAACTCATGAACAAGACTTTTCTTGTTCTTGGACGACACAGTAAGCTCAAAGCTGTAGTTTGAAGCTTACCACTGTGCCATCTCTTTCCTCTCTAAGCCAAAGCTGACAACTTGCAACAGTAGTATGAGAGAAGGACAAGAGACAGTTCACTGGAATGATTTTGCCTGCTGCCATGGGAGGGGGAGGGGAGGAAGGAGAGGGACAGAATGTGTGACATGACACAGTGGGCACAAGGTACATGGGCACGATCAAAGCTCAACTGCATCGAAAGCATCATGGCTCTTCTTCATCAAACAGTTTTAATAATATATATACTCTTTATCATATTTACTTTGTCAAATAAAATAAAGATATTGACCACCTGTTCTTTCTATAGAGCTTTAGATTAAAAAAAAAATTGCAACAACAAAAAATCACAATGGTGTGAAAGGTATTAAAACAAGCAACAGTATACACTGCTCTACTCTGAAAAATATTCTCCCTCCCAGACAACAATAACAAGAAACACCTAGCATCTAGGGGTGAAATAGAAAGGAGCATTTACCCTCAATTAACAAAACAAATCTTAACAAATAGAGGTTGTTCTCATATTCCTTCTTTTTCTTTCACTTTCATTAATGACACCATTCTTACTTTTCTCTGTGTGTGCACTCAGCAGCACTTCAGAGGCCATATTGGCTAACCGAACAGGGAATTGCAAGGGTTCTCTTGTGAGTGCAACACATCATAATGGTGCACCAGTCTTTGACTTTTTAAGTGAATGGTCAAAGCCAGCAATTAAACATTGCATCAAAATAAGTCAAGATAAAACATTTGCTCTTGTTGTTCAAAGGTTGCCTCGTATACTCCGCTTACTTCTCAGCATGAGCCATTGCTTGTCTTTAACGTTTTCAATCACATCATGAAAAAAAGGTATCTTCTAAAACAAAAGCTGTGCTTTTAATGAGGAATTTGAAAAGGGATGCTAAGGAAAAATTTCTTTTTTTTTAAACATAAAAAATAAAAACACACAGAACTTGCAACATGTTACGTTAAAGGTGGATATCCCCACAAAACTATCCATCTAAAATGCTCTATTGTTTGTTGAATCTTGCTTTCATCACCATCAAAGGTTCACTGAATACATACAGTTCCACTTCACCATCAATGAAAGCTGTTCATGCTACACTATTTGTTGACTGAAAAAAACCTTTATCAGAATGCAAGATCATAATACAGAAGACAGAATCACAGTCAAAGCAAGGAACTACAAATCATCAGGTAAAGAAGGAAATAAAGAGTGTACAACATTAGTGGTGCTGGGATAGTCTTAAGGCTAGCTAAATAATCATAATCAAACAGGCAATATCTAAACTAACAAAATTAGACAACAAAATAGGGTAATGAACCAACAGTATATAAGTGCAAGGGAAATCAAACTAGGGGTACCAACAGCACACTGAGTCCATGAATAGAAGTGGCTTACACATCGAGAATGTCGAGAAATAGCAACAAAACGGACTAAAAATAGGGCTCGACACAATTTTAAAAAGCTGCTCTAACAGGTCAAGAACAAACAGTGTGGAAAGTCAAAGTACACTAGAAAAGTGAAAGGAAGACCAAAAAAAAAAGCACAAAAAATAATACGCTACGGATTAAAGAATTGATTTTGAAGAACACACTTCATGAAATTTAAGCAGACTCATTCACCAGGGAGCACACACAAAATCAACCTTTTGGGAGCACAGATTCAGGGACAAGAGGGTACTTGAACGTGACAGACCTACAGCACAGGTGTCAAACTGAAGGCCTGAGGGCAGTATCCAGCCTGTTAAACTGTTACATACGGCCTGCAAGAGAATTTTAGGTAGCCTACCCTGAGAATCTTCGCGACACAGAATTTAATTCCAAACATAAAGCAACGTGTTGCTCCCCCCCCCCCCCCCCCCTAAAAAGATGCCAAACATCCCTGACTAATTGACATAACAGCTAAAATTGAAATGCCCTGACTTTATTATTCTAACTTTAGTCTGAATTAATATCATTAATATCAAAGGTTTTGTTTTCCCACTGCTCAACGAGTGCTGTCAAAATTTGACCCTCAAACTTTTAAAGTGTAATTTGAGTTGGGTCCCCTGAGCGACTGAGTCTGACAGGCCTGACCTAAATCCTTAACAGGACAAGAGTTAATACACAGCAAGATGAAGAGGCAGCGATTCCCAAGTTGTTGGAGCTTGCACAGCAGCACAGACCAGACAGGACGAGACAAAGTACAATTCTCCCGCAAAGAGAAAGGGAATGACACAACATGACGGGTTCTAGGCCGGTGGACAAGTGGAAAGACGTTATTAACCTTCACAGAATGGCGTCAACACCTGAGCCAATCAGCGACACAAATGTGACAAATTAATCAAACAACTCCTTTTCCCTGCATTCTATTAACACTCAAAAGAGTTTCAAGGGGAGCGGAATCATACCGTTCTTATTTACACCCTGTACTTTCACCCTTTCCCCCAAGTTTTTTTTTTGTTAATGAAGAGAAAGTTTTTACAAACCATAAATGTGTTCCTACACATTTTAATATTTACATTTAAAATGTACATTTTTACAAGTACAACAACTCATAAGATTAGAACTTATTTCTACTGTCAATGTACCGTGAAGAAGAAGAAGATGATGATGATGATGCTGCCTTGCTGCTCTTGTTTTTCCCACTTGAGCTGTGATGCGGGTGATAATGTCTGTGCGATGATGATGATGACGACGAAGATGATGATGAGGACGACAAAGATGATAATGACACGGTTGAAATTCGATGGGGCGGTGGTCTCGGGGGTAGAGGTGGCGGCGGCGGAGGATGGTCGCTGGGTACAACGTTTCCACTCACAGCTGGCCCCTGGGTGGGTGTCCTGTGATTGTAGTCATACTGTTTGGTCACTGAAGCAGCACTACCGTGAGCCCCAGAGGACGAGGGAGTGTGAGAGGATGGCCCCGCCGTGCCACCAGAACTCGGCCACATGTGGAACTGGGATGGGTGTGGCAGGCCAGTGGGGTGATGTGGAGGAGGAGGAGGAGGGTTCAACAGGGAGGATGATGGCGAGGAGGATGATGATGATGACGAAGACGATGATGACGACGACAAGGACGATGAAGAAGGGTGTTGTTGCGAGGCCTGTGGGGGAGGAGGGTGCATGTACGCCGGCGGCTGACTGTTCATACGTGGAGAATGTGGCATGCCTGGAGCGGAACTGGGAAACACCATGCTTCCTGCACTGCCCGGTCTGTCGTGCCCAACAGGTCCCGAGGCTCTTACGGGAGGGGGAACCGAGAGTGAAGTCGACGAAATACAAGACTGTTGCTGGTGGAAGCTGAAGTTCACTCCTGTACTGCCATTGATTAACGGCTGAACCGAAGAGCCTGTTAGATAGAACAATGAATAAATGAATAAATAAAAGAGTGAATGCAGAATGAATGAATGAACGAATGAAATTTTATCGATCTCTGACAAGAAAGTTTACATCCACTGCTTTTGCGCAAAACTCCGCCATATGCCATTTTGAAAAGTGAATTACACTGAACAGTTTATGTGGTCATATTCATGGGTAGATTACAAGTTCATCAGTGTATGTTCACTCTGTCTTTCTTTCCCTCAATGAGAATCTCATGCTGACAGGACAACATGCACAGAAAAATACAAAGCTCGAAATAACTCTAGTGTACCCCTTTTGTTTTCAGCCTCCTCCCCCCCCCTCCCAAATTTGCCTTCTTCAATCCCCACACTAAATGCAGTTCCCCCCAGTAGCCATCTATTAGAACAAGGTCACTATTAAACATTCATGGGTTACTACTCTTAGCTTGCTTTGCAGGGCACAAGTCCAGATTTTCTTAAGAAAAATTTAAAAAAAGGACAGAGGACCTTTTCGTCACAACCAGGAGCTGCTAAAACCAGATGTACAGTGTTCACAATTCTATAAAAAGCAAGTTGAGAGCAAGCTCTTTACCCCCCCCCCCCATAGTTTCATTTGTTATGCTCTGTTAAGCCCCCCCCCCCCCCAGTAACAGAGCAAACATCGTCTTCCATACTGAAAAACAAAACACAAGGGAAACTCAAGCACAACAAGTTTTGAAATCATCAAATAAAAATACATGGCAGCTGCATTTTTTTCTTTTTAACAAGAAAATTCTCAGAGAGAGAGAGAGAGAGAGAGAAAAAAAAGGGGAATGTCCACTGCTACTAAGATCTGAGCCATCATCAGGCACTCACCGCTGTAAGCCCCTGACCCAGCTCTCATGTGGCTGGAAGGTGTGACAAAACTGTGCGCGGCAGACGTCTGTGGGTACGGAGAGCTAGCGCTGAGTGGGGGTGGTGGCGGAGCACTGTCTTCTGCACCACCATTTGAAGAAGCAACTTCTGACTCATCTGATCGAACTGAAAAACACAAGGTAAAAGCAAGGTGTAAAAAAAAAAAAAAAAAAAAAAAGCAGAAACACCCACAAGGAGAATTTTCAAAACCTCGTTTACCAAGATCTAGAATGAGAAAGAGAAGCAGCACTTCATAATCAATAATTCACCTTGCCATATCAGTATCATCAGCTTCCTAAACCATCATGGTAAACTATTATAATCAATTGTTGGTATACACACTGTACTGTGTACATTAACCGTCTCCTCTCTGTATCTGAAGGTTCTGCACCTGTAAATTCAACAAACAGTAGACCACAAAGAAAACTGCACAAAACACCAAAAAGTGGGTACTACCCTTTCCCACTACTTTTATTTACAAAATTCACACTGTATTAATGAACCGAACCGTAAGCATTTGTGAATTCTTTTAGTTTAGTTTAAGTACAAGTTTAACGGTGCTCACAACTGCATAAGGTCATATGAGCGCCAAGGGGTGGATGTCAGCAGAAAAGTCCTTACAGGGAATCAGACTTACTCTGCTCACCTCTCTAGCTTCAACAGCGCAAAGTCTGCTTCGACTATCAAGGCACCCTCGAAATAGTGGGTCACAAAAGTGTGACAAACATACACAAGAAGTAGAGGAAAAACGACAATAGTAAGGATTAGGAAAGAAAAAGCTGGAGTTCCCTGTTGTAGATCAGGCACAGTTATGAGCGTGACATTGATGAATCAGTCCATTTACAATTCTACTGTGCAAGAACGAGAAATGTCCCCCCTTTGGGAATGGCCTAAAGACTCTTCAGTCAGTGGCACCACACCGCCCCGGGGGGCATTTGTGAATTCTAATGTTAATACATTTATAGTGTGTGTGCATATATCAAAGAACCACAAACTGAGCTCATGAGATGGCAACAGTACATCACACAAACATAAATACAGGATTTTCACAGAAACATCATAGAAAGGGTCTGCCCAGCTTCACAGGAAAGCTATCCTCATGACTTTTCTCAAGAATTTATGAATGGCATGGATTTAACAGATGACTAGTACTTACTTGGTCATTTATAAAAGATAAGAACAATAAAAGACACAGACACAGAACAGTAAATATATATATAACACAAATACATAGCTAGACAAAAACTGCAACCGCCCTTTTTAGCATGAACATTGATTGGAAGAAATAACGGACCCCCCTATAAGAGCTAAAATACACTGCAAGAACCTGCAATGACCAGGTAAAATCCATCTACACAGAAAACACAGACCTTCTTTAGTCAATTCTTGAGACAAATTTGTTCAATGAATGTAGGAAAACTTACAGAAACAGAACATAACATACTTTTTCTTACCAAAGAGCCACAACAATAATGAAAAATAAATCATCTGAGAAGATCTACAGCAAGACATCATAGCAACAAGGTCAGACAAGATTATTGTAATCTAGGCATCCATTCTAGGGGCCTTGTGAGCCCTAAAGTGCTGTTGACATATACAGCAAACACAACTTTAGGTGCAAAACAAACAAAAGATATTTATAAATTTCACAGGCACAGCAAGAAATTTGCCCAATTTCTTTACAGAAGCAAAGAAAACTCTTAGAAAAAAAGACTTCATCTCTTATTTCTTCCCCCTTGATTCTCCTATTCAAACAAAAATGAATTTCTGTGCTCATTCTGTCCTCACTAAACATAAACAGAAGGAGACTCTGGAGTTTTCATCAATTCTCCATCATTAAGTAAATGTGTTGGGGATCATATTACAATTTAATCCAAGTTTCATCGTTTCAGACAAAATAGGCTTTTCTTCAGTCAATATTCTTTTAATTTGTATTTTTCGCAAATAGCTGCCATTATAGACCATATCAGCGACAATTATAATTATCTATAATACGGCTGAACTGACAAAACAACTTAGACCGGCTAAAAATAATTCGTGCTAAGCACAACGAGGCACCAAAAATATACTGACTGCTATAGAAGTAACAATAACAACAGAACATATCAACCTACCTTACAATAAACAAGAGAGCTAAGAAAGACTATAACTTGAAAAAATTGAGAATTTTGCAAGACGCACTACACTGTTCACCATCAGATTTCACAACGTACAACACACAATTTCAAATATATCAGCAGAGCAGAAGAAGGTCCCTGCCATTCCACCTTCAGCATAATGGCAAAAACTTGCAAGATATATAGTTTTAGTTTTAGTAGATGTTTTACGGCGCTCGCAACTGCATAAGGTCATATGAGCGCCAAAAGATTAGAGGTGTTACAAGAGAGTAACAAACATATAAAAGAAGAAGGGGAGATAAGGATGATAAATGTTTGATAGGAAAGAAGAAGCAAACCACACCAGAGCACCCGCCAACCACCCACTGCAAGATATATGTCTCTATGAAAAGTTTGATAGATTCTACTTGTAAGGAAGTGAACAATCAGCTATATAACACCAAAAAACAGTGCGTTTTACAGACTGCAACATTTGGGCAACAGAACGCCTACTATTTAGAACATACATACTGATGATACTGACCATTTCAAAGAATAATACAGACAAAATATCAAAAAATATTTATGCAGAGGACATTTCGTAAGAAAAATGAACCCTCAACAGCTTCACAAGGGACAAACAAAAAGTGGTGATACAAACAGCATTACACAGACCAAAGTAAAACATAACATAAAAGAAAGAAAATTATTTTTTAAAATATCCACAATAAATACAAACATTTCAAAGCAAAAAATATATATAAAGTGGAAGAAGGAGTCAACTAAATAAGAAAGCAAAGCAAGCACAGAATGAAAAGAGCAAAAGGGTGTGGGCGGGGAGACAGGCAACACAGTCCACATCAATATGAAGAAGACCAGCATGCAGCAGACGCGGACAACTGAGGTTTGTCCCGTCTGCCTGCACTCACCGTCGGTGACATTGCGTCGGGTGGTCTGGTGGTGGTGTGGGTGAGCCTGAGAGGCACCAAGAGGGTGGAGTGGAGGAGGATGAGGAGGAGGGGGTGGGGGAGGAGGGGGCGGAGGCGTTCCGGGCTCCCGGTGCTTCTTGGTATCTAGAGAGTAAGGTACAGGCAAGGTCAATCCCAACGTGTAGCCTCATCACATTCATTCAGACTAGGGAGCTGAGAAGCACCATTTTCGATACATGACTTACAAGAAACTTGCTAGCTCTTGTTGTATGAGAGTTACTGTGGGTTTGCAAATTATAATTATAACAATAATTGTATTTCACTCTTTAGTGTCTGATGATAACAAACGCATCTGCAGAGGAGAATAGCTCTTCTGCAAATTTAGAAGAAATGAGGATTAAGATGATTTGTGGATTCTGCTATAGCCAGTGAGACCAATTCTAGAACAGAATAGTTTTGAAATAGTTTGAGCATTTTAAAGCTTCATTTCCACTGTAAGACAATTGTAAAACTCAGCTCTTTGATGCTAATCCCTGTTTTCATTCTTGTGTACTCCATGATGCTGCAATTATTTGTCATTCTGTCTATTTCAATACTCCTGCCATCTTCATACAGGCAGACTGGCAAGAGCATAAGCACTTACTTACATCTTTAATTGTAAAACAAGACACTTGACCTATGCTTTAAAAAGAAGACTGCCAAACGCTTTGTGAGTGTATATATCTATCAACTACCAACCCATGTGGACGAGACAGTTTTGTACCATTTTGTGTTATAAGCGAGAGACTTCAAGGGAAGAATGTCAATTGTTCTTTGGTTCAGAAATGTACAAAGCGCATGAGACAATTGTAAAGCTGCATTTTCATGCTGGCACCTGATGTGAGAAGACAAAATCGTTGCTGCAGGAATAGAACAGTGCATTTTCCCTCCAAAAGCACTGGATAAAAACCTATGGCAAAAGGCAAGAGTAGGGCAACCGCACCACTGGAAGCAAAGCAAATTACTAACTAGGTCGCTCTTGGCTTAATGTAGTGAGGACTCTAAGTCAGTCATATGTTTATACAACACCTGCATTTTTCTGTATTTTTCCATGTACACTGCACCAAAATATAAGGAAGGTTCACAAATGCCCTGGAAGCAGAGAAAAGTTAGCCTGGATTTAGTATGCTTGTAAGTACTGCTCAACATAACCGCCAAGCTGGAAAATGTATACGATGAGCTGAAGATATTAGAGTAAACTAAAAAAATCCAAGTGGTCTGATAAAATAGAACTAAGCACTAGCTATGTACATAAAATTTCATGACAAAAACTTACCACTTTTCTGTTTACCAGAGTCCTCCTCGACATCTTCCACACCAAACTCCAATCTCAGCCTTTCTGTCAGGCTTAATTGTTTCTCGGGTTTACTGCTCTTCGCCTTTCTTTTCTCGTCTGTAACAAAATATAGATGATGACAACTCAAAAATGTCATAGGGGACAGTATAAGTCTAATTCAGATGTCATGAGACCTATAAAACAGAAAATACCTCTCTCGTCACAATGAAAATATAAACTGAACTTATAAAATGTCAGTACCGACACCCTACAAATAAAAATAGTGCTTTTACTACATTAAACTCAGGCGCAATAACGACTGGAAGCTTCATTCCCAGCATTTAACACTTTGCAGTGACATCTCGCCGATGGTTACCATCCAGTTTCTTTGGATTTTCCAAAAAAACACCTGTGCCTTTTATGGCAAGGGTTTTTAATTATATGGGCCTTGTGATGGCAAAGTGTTAAAGAGTGTTTCTGACAACCCAACAAGTTGAAAAGTGAGAACAATGTGAATATGACACAAAAACAAAACAGCCTAAAAAAAATAAAATGCAACAGACAGCAAAACAACATGGTGATGTAATGATTTACAAAGAAGAGGAAAGTCTATATTAAATTTAGGAAGCATTAAATGTAATGACAAGTTGTATACCTTTCCTAGGATCAGAAGACTTAAACAAGGGAAGCGTTGCCAGCGTAGGCATCCGATGCTTCCGCGGATTCAATGGTGCTGATGATCTTGAAGGTGAGTGTGAGGACGATGAAGGTGAAGTGCTTGAACGGCTGGCTGAAAAACTGTTCTGATGCAGAACGGTGGATGAGGACAATAATGATGAAGATAATGCAGAGGAAGAAGATGATGAGGAACCAGAGCTCGGAGATGTCTTTGTCTCCGTAGCTGACGCCGGTTTGTCTTTCAAACGCTTCCAGTACTCAAACAAGCTGACCTGAAATTGCACATTTAAAAAACAGGACCTCAAGATCAAGATAAATTGGGACATGTCAAGGGGGTTTACATGGAGAAAAGGCTGAACGCCCATCTGGCAGAGAAGAGGACAGTAAAAAAAAGACATTAGAAACTAGATGCCACACGGGCGAGAAAGAAAATGATTTTCATTCCTTTGACAAAAGTACAGTCAAATCTGCTCTACCAACCAGCCTACTGAAGACAAATAAGTGGTACAAATGAACAACTACCTCAGCCCTGTGTTTTCTTCTATTTTACAATGACACTGTCCAAAATGAGCTCTTGTCTCCTCAACAATTGGAAGTTGTCTTGCACATCAGTAAAGGGCTTCAAGAAGCTTAAATCATCATTGGCTTTCTCACCCCGGATCAGGATAAGGCCCACAAACAAACACTTTCCACTTTTCCCAACCCTAGGCTAGCCCCACTTAATTACTTAATATCATTTCATGTCTTCCAAAGTTTCTGTACATCAATTTCTTTGACTCTTTTCCTGGTTCCACTTGGTCTTCCCCTTGACCTTTTACCCTTGAGACTAAAAGAAGAACTCAAATGACCGCTTATTGTTGGCAAATCAGAAACAAACATCTCAGTGATATTTAAGAAGTTGGACCTACAAGCAGTGCCCTCCTACCACCTGTACAACACTCAGGAACTAGACAAACAGAATTAGTAAACTAAACAAGAAGCCTAAAGCACCTAGAGAGGAAACAACAAGCAGAGGAAGACATGAGACGATAACGCTTATAAAGAGGAGCAGTTGGAAGAAGGGACTACTGAAAAAATCCTGAATTTTCACAGAAATTAACTTTCAATGACTTACCAATCAAATACAGACTGTAACATTAGCTGATTACTCTCCTAGCCTGAACTGTAACGCACATGTAATTTACACTGTAACTCATTTACAGAGAGAGAAAAATCTAGACCACATTGTTCTAAAAAGATAAAAATAGCTTACCGATTTACCCATTTCTCAACTTTCTCAATGCTATCTTTTATGTTCCCACTTCTTGAATAACCTTACAGTGTTGAAATGGGCTTTAAAGCTATTCAATTTTTTTCACATTTTTTCTTTGCTTTCTGTCTGTTGTTTCAGTCCATCCATCTAGCTTTTCCCTGCAAGAAATGACTGATATTGTCTTGATATAATGCTGCTCTACATTTAAACTTAATGCTATCTTTTAAGCAGAATTTGTGTTGTGTAAACATATGTAGGGGGGCTCTCGTGGCCTAGAGGTTAAGGTGTTGGCCTCTCATTCAAAGGTCCCGGGTTCGAATCCGGGTAGCGACCGGAAAATTTTCTGCTCTAAAATTGTCTCCTTTCACTTCCTTTCCTGCTCTCTAGCAATGTTCTGTCGTCTGCTTTCAATTCCACTTTCTGCCCCAACCCCCGCACCTCCTTTGCCCCCTCCTCTGGGCTCCTGACTCTTTCTGCAGCCTTTCTACTGCTACTCCTTGGCTCCTCCTTACTGCTGTCTTTCTGCCACACCCCTGATCTTCTGGTAGGAAAGATCTACACCTAGCCTTCTCGGACAAGGGCGAAAAATCTCGGAGGGCCCGTGTGCAAGTTGCGCACGTTAAAGATCCCTTGGTGGTCTAAAATCGATAAGAGAAGGCTTCGGCCGCCACCCGGGCAAAATTCAAAATTTCCTACCAACTGAAAATATTAGGTGTGTCCCGCGCGCTCATATGACCTATGCAGTTGAGAGCGCCGTAAAACACTTTACAAAAACAAAACAAAAAAAACAAACATATGTAGTAATAACATGACCACTATGTAGAACTTGACTTAAAAGCAAGGAAAACAAAGAAACAGTCTAAAAGCTGACACTCCTGTCACACAGATGCATATTTCCAACTCAACATTTTACTGGCCACAATGAATAAAATTTACAGAGAAATATTATTTGAGATCTCAGGTAGAACTGCATGCACCTCCCAACGGCATCTCACAATACAACAGGAAGGGAAAAAGTATGTACGAAAGCAAGTTCTCAGGTAGAGACATAGAAAATGTAGAGGTGTTTTTATGTTGACTGATATACTCAAATTAAAAATTCTCCCCACTCCGAAATCAAATTTGAGTCTTCTGTGTGCGATGACAAAGCATCGTAACAACTACACCACAGAGGCCAGTAATGACATAGGACACAAGACAGCCTTCAGCACTGCGAGACAAACAGGGCCCTGAGACAAGAAATGTGGCCAACCACATTGACACAACAAGAGAAGCTATATGGGCCGACAGATGAACCGAGCTGGATGGCCCAATATACGGCAGATACTGGACTTTTAGAGTGATGCGATCGAGAAGAAGAAGAAGAAGAAGACACAGGACACCAGCATAAATATTCCTAAAAGTCTGTGAAAACATACCTTCTTTTTCGCTGCTGGGGCTGCTTCTGCCGAGGAAGAGATGGAGGAGGAAGAACCTGGGGCAGCCAACCCACAGCCACTGTGAGGAGAAACCGACGCACTCGAACCTGGTGTGGTGGAGCTCAAGTCATCTTCAACTCGGCCAGCACTGGGGGACAACAACGACGTGGAAAGGGCTGACGGGCAAGACGACAAGGAGAGCGCAGACAGTGACGAGGATGGAGGCTGACATTCAGAGCCGCTTGGCAAGTCATTGCTGCTGACACACACAGTGCCAGCTTGTGACAAAAAGATAGAGCCACTGACAGACGGCGACGAAGATCCTTCGTCCTTGGAGCTGGGAGATGATGCAGACACCCTGGACTGCACAGCAGAAGAACCTTGAGCAGATGCTGACGACGTAATAGGCGACATTTGAGAGCTGTACTCCTGGGCAACAGATGACATTGCATTGTCTGACATTGCCTCTCCCGGCCCAAGGACGTCGTTGTCCCACACTGTGTGGCAACTCCGCACCTCCAAGAGATTTGACGATGACACACCTTGACCTTCCACAGAAGAATCGTCATTGCCTACAGAGTTTTCTTGCAACACACGACCCGATCGTTCAAAGTTACTGTCACAGAAACTGTCGACAGCTCCTGTAGAACTGTTGGAAGTTGTCTCTGCCGGAGCAGGCGCAAAGCTGCAGAGTTCTTTGGCCGACTCCCCACAAGTCGAGTCCACATTCCCATCTGCAGAGTTCAAGTCACTCACCACATCCTCTACATTGTGAGACTCGGACACAATACCTTCCCCTGAAACATCCGCTTCGCTGTTACTCGCAACCTCGGGACAAGCCAGTGGGTTTCCCCTAGCCTCTACATCGTGCGCTACACTGGCTGAATCACACATTTCCCCCCGTTCCTCCTCCTCTCTCGCAGTATGCACGTCGCTGTCCATCTCCTCTTCCTCCTCTTGCCGTGCCTGACTCTCCTCCACCTCCATGCTATGCGAGTCACAGTTCGTCCCCGACACCCCACCATCCCCTGCACTAACCCCACCCTGCTCCTCTTCTATGGAATCACACACAGACACAGCATTGTCCTCCGCCGACTGTGAACACTGACCACTTGAACTGATGCCCTCGTTGGACACCTCTGGCCCCGCATTACTAACCGAGACGGTGGTCACCGCATCTCTCGCACTCGATATGCTAACGCTGACCTCATCCTGGTCAGGGAATACTGATGACGTCGAGCCACCTGCGCGGCTGACCCTATTTACATGCTGGGAACTGTCCACAACCTCCTCGTCCCGACTGAGGCCAGCCACCGCTCTCTCCTCCCCCCCTCCTGGCTCACTAATACGAACCTGCACGACAGAAGAGTCCGTGCACCCATTATCACAGATGTCAATGTTATTATGGCCTGAAACAGGCAAAGGCAGAGAGTTCACAATGTCTTCCGAGCTGTTCACTTGGCAGTCGCCCACTGTGTCACGAGTCCTCCTCTCCTGAACCGCGTCCAGCTGAAACAACCTCTCGTTCAAGTTCACCACAGCCGAGCTGTCGCTGAGGGAGGATGGCTCCATCTCGTGGGCATTGAGGTCCACCCGCACGGTGGCCGGGCTGTCAATGTCCATGATGGATTTGGTGGTCACACACCCTGCCTCACTGCCCTCCTCCATGAGGTTGTTCACCCCGTTATATACACTACTGCTATTTACAACCACCACAGTGGAGGTGGAAGCCGAGCTGCCAATTCCGCTGTCTTCCTCCAGTTTAGCAGAAATGACTTCTCGGAAAGGAGCCCCTATGTGACCAAGGCCATTCTCACGAAACAACAGAGATGAGCTCGCCTGGGGAGCCTTCTCCTTCCCTCCCTCAGCACTACTGTCAACTTCCATCTTCTCAAAAATGTTCCTTAATTTGAGAGGAAAATGAGAGCTGGATGGTGGAGGCACGTTGACCGAGCTCACGCTAGGCCTCACCCCAGACAGTCCATTCATCCTGGCCACTGAGGAAGCAGTCACTGAAATAGGATCAACTTTCACGGGTGGGAATACACCAGAAGACGGCGAAGCTTCTGAACCAGAATCGTCTCTGTGATTCAGGTGGCTTGGTGTGCTGTTGAGTGATACGTGCGTGGAGCTAGCAGATGCACTTGCTCTTCTTTCCTCTGGTATGGTGCCCGAGAAACCATTCTGAATGGGGTAGTTCTTGTGCAACAACAGTCGCTATGGGCCACAAAGGAACAAAAGAACAAAAAAGTAAGAATTAAAAGAAAACTAACATAAAGTAACACACAACATGAAACCAATGGGTTAATATCAAGAACAATTTCAACATAGGCTACACAAATTGTGCAATTTCCAACTTTTGAATTATAAAAGGCAAATCCTCATTAGATAGAAATGAAAAGATTTATTTCATTTATCACACGCATGCATTGCCGCAGCAGAAAGATCAAAAACAATTTCAGTCTCTTTCACTCATACTCTTTCTCTCATACACCAACATAGAAATTGGAGGAAAAGACCAAACTTTACAAAAGGTATTTTGTCACAAAACAACATTTGTAACACACAATGCCAAAGCCCCTTGCTATGGTCGCTTTAGTCAATTCATACAAAAGTATTACTCTTTCCTCAGTTTTAAATTTTAGGCTTGGAAAAATATTTCAATGGAAAATGTAGCACAAATGATACACACAACATTTCTCAAGTATTAACACTAAGCCTATCCCTTTCACTCACTTCATCTTTACACAACATGTTATTTCTATTCTGCTTGGGAGCGCACAAACGTTGACAGTAATATAAAAATTCTTAACACAAGAACACTAACAATGTAGCAGTTCTTATGTTATGCGGATGTCAATAGCCTCAGTCTGAAAAAGAGGACATCAAATTTCTGGTACGGGGGGGGGAGACACCATGAGACACTTCAGCCAACTGACCCAACATAAAAGTGACTTTGAATCGACTCCTGCCCACACAAGCCTCCCTAAGGAAGGTAGCACAAGGTACCATGCACACAGTTACAAAAACCTTGGTTTAACTGAAAGTCTTACATCATCTGTGCTGTGTCTGTGCGGAGGGAAGAACTGCTTCACTCCGTTGGTTCTCGGCGCCACACCGATGCTGTTGGAGGCAAAGCTTTCTGCCAGGACACCAGCACTGGGGGAGATGACGGACCCACTGCTCTCGCCAGACAAAGACTCTCGCATTAACCGGCGCTTCTTCAGGGGTGTCACAAAATCTGAGAGAAAGATAAGCATTCAAGATGTTCAAATAACAGTACCCTCCGAACACTGTAAATGGCAAAAAAAAAATAGTGATAACCATAAAAATCCCCCCCCTCCTCCCCATTAAAAAAAAACCCCAGGCAATATAACATCTACAAAATTAGACTACCACCCTTACCCAACATGTATAAAACTAAGCAAATGTTTCCATAAATTCATTTAGAGTAATGGATATAAAGAAACAGCAGAATTTTTAAAAAATCCAGCTGCAAGGAATTCTAACATACACCGAGGCACTACGTTCAGGGATTTTCATTTCAGTTTCCTGCTGTTTTTGGATTGACAGTGGGTTTTTAAAATAGTTTTAGTAAGAGTTTTACTGCACTTGCAACACAATAAGGATATATATGTGCCGAAGATTAGAGGTGTTACAAGAGAGTAACAAACACAGAAAAGAAGGAGGGGAGATAAAGACAACAGATGTTTGATAGGAAGGAGGAGCAGACCACACCAGAGCACCCGCCAACCACCCACTGACAGTATTTCGTTAAAGCAGACTTCGTTGTATGTTTCTATTCAAAATTATTTAGGACTTAACTGCTGATGACACAGATGAATTCAATTTCAATGCAGAGCCCATTTGTCTGAAGTCAGAGCCTTACAGTAAAAAGTCATAGATGGGCAAAGAATCAACCCAGTACATCACACTCTAAGAAAGCCTTAGAAGACTGCCAACTCTTTATCAAAGAGAGAGAGAACACAAAACAATTCCTCTTGACAAAATGTTAAAATCTTGTTGCACCAGCATCCTTTGTGTTTGAATAGTGAAATGATTTTTGTAAGCAAAACCCCTAAAATCTAAAAAGACACTGGATCATGAGGGCTCGAATAAAGAAATGGGGAAAGAAATAGAAAAAAAAAAAAAGAAAGAAAATCACCAAGTGGAGAAGTAGCTCTCGGACTTCCTAGGCCAACAGCGAGATTGGGGCTGGCACTCCTCGGGGCGGGAGAAATGTTGTCGGGAGCATCCGTGCTGACCGACAGGCCCTGCTTGAAATCCACCGGCACGGGCACTTCATGCATGGCTTGACGTAACCAGCGCTGCAAGATAGTTTAGTAAAAAGTTTTAAGGCACTTGCAACACAATAAGGTCAAATAAGCGCAGAAGATTAGGTGTTACAAGAGAGTAACAAACACAAAAAAAGAAGGATGGGAGAAAAGGACGATAGATAGATGTTTGATAGGAAAGAAGAAGCAAACCACACCAGAGTACCCACCAACCACCCCGCGCTGCAAGAGAGACCACACAGAGTAAACAACCACGTTTGTTTTGTTTTAGTAGAGGTTTTACGGCGCTCGCAACTGCAAAAGGTCATATGAGCGCCAGAAGATAAGAGGTGTCACAAGAGATCAACAAACATAAAAAAAGAAAAAGGAGAGATAAGGACGATAGATGTTTGATAGGAAAGAAGGAGCAAACCACACCAGAGCACCCGTCAACCACCCACACAACTACGTTTACTCCACAAACACTGGTTGTAACGGAATCAAGCCGACTTTTCCCCCCCAACATCTCATGAGATTTGCTTCAATTGCTACGCACAGACATTCTTCAAATGAACTTCTCTCTATGGAGTTCCATAAGAAGAACGCGTTAGCTTCAAATGGTACCCACACATTAGCTTCAAACTGTATCATTATAATACTGATTAAAAAAAAAAATTCAACAGAATCCTGTAGTACATTGTGCACTGTAATGGAAATCTGCCCAACAAAAACTAGTATAAGAGCAAGAAGAAAATCTTTTCCTTTGCCATCTAAAACAGTGACGATGAAAAACAAGGACAAAGCCACAATACCCAGTAGATATAAAATGCAGCATTCACACAAACTCAACAATCTCACGTTCTAAACAGATATCAATACAAGTCACAACATTAATCATCCAAGATAATGCTTTTTACCACCCCTGCCTCCACAAACCTTCTTAGCAGAGCCTGCTGCATTGGCATCTGAGCCTTTACTGCAGCCTGCGCTCTGGGAGTTCCTTCTCTGCAGATGATCCATTGTGTTCACATGAGGGCTCGGTAAACATTGTACAAACATTTCTTCTTGCTTGTTCTCATCCTCATGTTTATTTGACCACTCTGTGAATAAATGCTGAAAAAAAAAAGAGAAAAAAACCGAAAAAAACCCATGAGGAATTATTATTTTTATAAAGAAGCAAAAGGTATTCATAATACAGTAGTCTCCACCTAAGATCCCGGTGCTCGGGAGCAAGGCGAACCAGGATCTTAGGCGAACCGGGATCTTAACCGACGAACCCAGGGAAGAATCTATGGTGACCCATGTTAAGGCTCATCATCATTGCCTTTCTCCACCCTGCATCAGGGTATAGGCCACGGACAAACACCCCCCACTTTTCTCTATCCTGGGCTAGCCTCTTGTTCCCCGAGGTCTTCCCCTTGATCTCTTGCCCTGTGGGTTCCAATCCAAAACTTTCTTTGTTATGCAGCTGCCTGACTTATGTTAAGGCTCACAATCGGTAAAATGGTCTCCCTCCACTCTACAATGAACTGACGTGCCCGCTTGGTGGGTTTATGGCATATGGCGAGCAAAGAGTGGTTAACCTTGACCTATTACGGTGCATAGTGGAATGAAGCGTGCCATTTTGACTTATCATGCTATCATGAGTCTCAAGATCTACGCTTATCCAGTTGCCCCTCCCCTTTACCTGTCGAAAATTTATAGCTTTCCATCTCTGACCAAGCCCCCTCCCCCACAAAACCGCCTGTGTCGTTACACACCATTACGTTGTGAACACACCAATTAAAATTCAGTCCGTCTCGCAAATTCGGGAGTAGAGACAACTGCTGCAATGGTCAAGGAAGAGTTCACAGTTTGATGTGATCCCGCCTGGAGCGAATGTGTAGGCCCTACCCACCCAGCGAGTGATGCAAGTTTAGGGGGAGAGCTCAGGTGTGAGTGTGATGTTCGGGGAAAACAAACACGTCGGTCAGTTCACACCCCGGCGTGATCCCGTCTGGGGCAAACTTTGTATCGCTTCATCGAGTTTTACAACGTGTATGCGATCACATTCATGAGAGTGGCTGATCTCTGACGCGACGGACAGTTTATTGATCTCAACTTTTCACTCTTGGTTGATCGGCTGTGCCAGCCCGGGTTGTTTCTCAAATTATGATCTGAAATGCGGGATCTTAGCCGAATGTCAACCATCAGAGCGGAATCTTAGAGGTGACTTTTGTATAGTAAAAATTCTGTTTTCCTAAAACAATGGGATTTTAAGCGAACCGGGATCGTAAGTGGTGGGATCTTAGGTGGGGACTACTGTACTGGAACACCGAGTTTTTTAAAAAGTTCTTGCACCACAACTAGATCATATAAGTGCCAAAGATAACTGTAATCAGAGAGTAGTATACATTTTTTTTAGGCTCAGCACCCCGATCAACACAATTGGGTTATTTAAGAGGTGGGTCCTCCGAATTTAATGTCCATCTCCAGCAGGACCATGCCAAATAGGTTGAGAGCCTTGAAAGCAGCACAAAACTACTTGAGTACAAGAACACCCAGTCTAGAATTCTGACCAGGGCCATACGCTCCATAGCCTTGCAAGATATTAACTGAGCAAACAGAGTGCCCTAAGAAGGGGGAGACATGAGGATAAATGTTTGCTACAAAGCAGCAGCACAGAAGTAAATAACACTAAAGCAACCACCAACCACCCACCTAGTACATTGAACATAAAATGAACATAAGAATTTAAGACTGAAACTATCAATAATGTAAATGTGTGACGGTGATTTAAGAGAATACTCACTAAAACGAAAGGAAAAAAGTATTTAACGGCCAGAAATCTTCAACTCGCTCTTCAACAACACCTTGAAACCATGGTCTTCATCTTGAAAAAAATTTTCTGAGCTTGTTGGATGTTATCCAAACAGACGTCAAGTAGAATAATGAGGCACAATAAATGGATATGAGAAGAACACAAAAAAAATATTTAAAAATTGTAAATTGAGACAACTACCTTTTTCGTCTTGATGAACTTGAACTCAGAGCTGTTGTCCACATCGGTAGAGGGTACAGGGGCGCTAACAGGTGTGGCGGGAACAGACGGGGTGGGTGGCACTGACAGCGGGGTGGCTGGGAAGCTGCTGTTACTGTTGCCCTCATCCGTGGACAGAGATGCAGTATCCGACAGAACAGAGGTGCTCTGGACCCGGCTTTTCCTGTTTTTCATTGAACAAGGAAGTATGAAAATGACGAAGCTCCATCTGTTACCACCAAGTACAAAAATCAGGGATACAAACATGTGAGTCAAAAATTCCTTTCTTAAGATACAGAAAAGTTTGGGTTTTTTCTTCCATTTTTTAAAAACAGTAAGAGCAACCGAACAATTGAACAATACCTACTGCTTAAACACCCAAAATCCAAACAAACGATTCTAAAGGCATCTTAAATTGTTCTGGAAGTAAGAGCAATGGACCAGTTAAAAGTAGAAAAAAAACATGTAGTTTTCTCCACCACCATACCTACTTAGTGCAAGACTATACCATGTGCCATTTTGAAAAGTGACTTATGATGGAGTCTTAAACGCTGAACCGTCGCCATACCCCCGATTCACAACATTCCAAACTTTTAACATGAACCAACACATTTCCCAGCAGACCAGATAACAACAAAAAAAAGACACCCTTACTCAACAAACCTTCTTTTTCTTTTGCCCATCCTTCTGACAACTTTCTGAGGAGACGGCTGTTCTTCCTTCACGGGCCTGGGCACCACTGGCGGCTCAGGCTGCGCTGACACCCCCGGTGGAGCCGCAGCGACGGGCGACACACTGCCGGTGGGTGGGGACAGGACCACTGGGTCAGGCTGCTCTACCTTCACCTCTCCTTCTCCACCACTGCCGGGCCCCGGGGACTTCATCTGTACGTCTGCTGCACCCTGCACGGGTTCCGGTTTCACTTCCGTCTCGTCGACTGGCCCATCCTGAGATCCCGTCCTCGAGTGACCGTTCCCCCCACCTTGGTTTTCACCTTCCTCTTTCTGAAATAGAATTCAATTTCAAAAATGATAACCAAAGCTATGAGCAAGAACTTTTTGAATTCTAGCATGTTCCATATTTATTTTTTCACATCAAAAGACAAGGCGAACAGTTATATGAAAATCTGGTGGTGACAAAATGAAAGAAAGTTTCAGCATATGGGTTCAGCCCTACAAGAATATTTTCACACTTCCTTTCCTCAAAATAGCAAAAGTTAAGACAATTACACCATCAAACAGTAGAATTATTAACTCCATGAGTTGGCACAAACCTTTTTAGACTTTGGTTCATGCCCTTTCTTAGTCACAGTGTCGCCTTTGGCAGCTGCTTCCTTGCGGCGTTCCTGTCTTTTCTCCATTTTCTCAAAAGCCTTCATAATTGCATCAAGCTTTCTTTCTTCACGTGTCTGAAAACATTGAAAATTTATATACACAATGAATTATATCAAGCTAAAGAAAGGCAAAGTACCCCGACAAAATGACTTAAATATGATCACATTAAAAAAGGAATACGACAAAAGAAAGCTTGACAAGCCATATTCTTTAACTTTCACTGTCTAGAAGTTGTGAAAAGTAAATTGTTTCCTTTTTCCCATTTGTTTCTCAAACTGAAACTTCTTACATAATTTGTAGACTATGAATCTCTTTTAATCTTCAAGGGATCAGCTACATAAATATCATCAATATATGTCCAAACTTTGGATCTTTATAAAACCAGGAAGAGAATCACTTGGGAGTAAATTGTCCCAACCATGATATTTAAGGTAACTTTGTGATAATACACAAATAGAATTTATTTATGACCCTCACTACATTAATAGGTCTAGTAAACCTGAGAGACAACAACCAGTCCCCATTTTCCACTGTCCGCTTGTACATTACAGCAGTGCTACAAAACATAAACTTGACATTACAAATACTGGGCCATCGTCAGAGGCACCTTTCTTCCCAATTTTAGTTGAAAAATAACGGGTGCCCTATTCATGGTTCCGATTTAAGTGCTCTCTTCCTCATCAATTTTCTCAAAACTTAAAAAAAAAAAAAATTACTCAAGACGCCAACGGAATGAGGCTGACAGTATTATACTAAAACCCACCATCTTCCTTGGACAGTCTGAAGCAGTGCCCGAGTCTTCTGTCTCACTGGTGGCTGTGTTTGTAGATGCTGCTGGTACTTCACTCTTGCAGTCCACTACTGTGTCTGGTTCTTCCTGACTTTGTCTGCGGGCCGACAGTCGTCTTTCTTTCTTCACTTCATTTTGGTGATGGTACGGGTGGTCTTTGTTGTCTTTCTCCTTTGTCTTGTGCTGAGGACAGAACAAGAGGGAGAATGAAATATTTCACACAGTAATCATGTTTTCCCTGAGTTGCTGAAAGCAATGTCAACGTATTGTTTTACAGACATTCAGTCGCATACTTTAATGTCTAAAGGACAGTGTTTCAAATCTTTTTTATGGCAGCATGTCTGTTCCAACTCCTAAATAAATTTCCTAATTTCAGGACACATATATAATTCTCAATACTTTTCTTGACACTAAAATGTTTACTTTAAATACTCTTTCAAGAAAGTTTGCAAACTCAAAAGAGAAAAATCAAGGGGAAAGCTTTCTCTTTGATGAGTAGTTATTACCTCTTTGTTCTTCCCTTGTTTTTCTTTTGTGTGACTCGTGGCGTTAGGTAAACTAAGTACTGGCTTCTCTTCATTTGCAGGTTCCTCCATTATTCGACTGGCTCTCCTCGAGGACACTGGTTTAGCTGGTGGTGTCAGTGGTGTTGCTGGGGGAGGCGACTTCTGTTGATTTAAAAGAAAAAAAGATGTCAGATGTCAATGACACAACTCATAACAAAAAGTTGCACGGAACAAAAAAGTAAGGCATCAGCCAGGCTGATTTTTCCTCACCTAACTCTGAGTCATAATAAATGTACGGCTTTCTAAAAATAAAGCTTAGTAGGTCTTCGATTATGGAATGGGTAACATTTTGATAGAATCTGTATATAAATTATAGTTTATCAAATCAATGTTTAGAGCTCTTCACAATGCTCTTTTAAAAATGCATACAGCTCATATATGTAAACAAATCTAAAGTCTTCATCACAGTTTACACAATGGAAACTGGCTCTTTTTTTCCGGCATATCATGTCCTAAACTCTAGGAGCTGAAATCATGGTTTCAGATACAACCAGGGACACCACTGGGATTTTTATGAAAATAGCTGAAAAATTTATGAAGTAGCATAAATATTTACCACCAAAAAACAGCTAATCGACACACCTAAAGTGGTTAAACAAAAAACAAAGGCCGTGAATAATAATTGCTATATGTGAAAATATCAAACATAGTTTTTTTTTTAATCTGGAAAAATGGCATCCTAATACAAATCTATGATTTTAGAAAACTTGCCTGCAATGATGAGTCTTTCACATCAAATGCTCCCATGGTGGACGCTACGTCCAGCTGACCGTCCAAGAGTGCTGAGGCGGCCAGGAGTGTAGACACGTTTGACAGTTTCACAGGGCTGCTCAGTTTTGGAGGAGGCGGAGGGCTGGATGCTGTTGAGAACTTAATCTGCAGGGCTTTTACTGGAGTAGTGTTGCCCTTGTTGGGGCTGCCCACAGGAGGGGACCGACTCGCATTCAGTTCCTCACAAGGTGTTTTCTCAATCTCCACTGTCGACTGGCGTCTTCTCTTGATACCAAGCTCTTTCTTTGCTGACCTGGGCACAAAAAAATATTTTTTTATATGACGCTGAAGTCATAAATAGATATCTGGGATCATATGACAGCAAATGCAAGTACAGTCGAAATTTTTTGAGATGGCCAACTTAATGTCCAGGAGAAATGTGGTTGTCTTAGACATGTCGATGTTTGAACAGTGACATTTAAATTTTTTAAAAATTGTTTTTTAATCCAAGGGGAAGTGAGATGTGGGTGTTTGTGACGGTGATTGTCTTTGACAGGTGGCCGTTATGGCAGATTCAATTGTAGATGCACGTCAACACCCAACTGCTCAGGATTTCCCAAAAAGAAGGAAGTCTTACTAATAAAAAAATCTGTAAATAATTTTCTCAAATTTACGGCCTGCAGGACGATATTTTGCTGCCCCTACTTAGTATCAAAGATTACTATTAATGCAGCCAAAACGTTTCTTTTTTTTTTCTTTCATACCCACTTTTTTGCTGAAGTGTTGCCCTATTTTTACATATTTTCTCATTATTTATGGACTAGCAAAAACTATTTGGTTGTGTAAAAGTTACAGTTTCTTACAACTTTTTTTCATAGCACATTTTATTTGAGAAAAGCAGAAAAACTACTCCCCCCCCCCCCCCCCCCATTTTTTTCAGCTTTCATTTTCATTCCCAAAAAAGAAAAAAGAAAAAAATTACAAGTTGGAAAAAGAATCATTACAATTTTATTATTGGTAAATTATGTCTTTATTATTGGTAAATTATGTCTAAATCCCTTTAAAATGTGTTCCCCATCACCTCCGTCTTTGTCTGCTCCACGCAAAATAACTATTGCTCAGAGCTTGCTCCCTATTTACAAGCATCCCATGAAAGCCTTTTCTGTCTGGATTATGCATCTGAACCATGAACATCTGTTGAACATCAATAATCTTTTTTCAATACTCAGTACTCAGGAAAATCTAGTTTTTTGCTTTTACAATAATACACTTACTTGTGGGAATTTTTCACTTTTTTCCAATATCTTGACACTGCACAGTTGTTCTTTATACAGGCACACTCAACACAATAGGAACTGGAAGAGAAAAAGCATTAAAAAAATTATTATCTTGCAATATTCATACACAAAAAAGTAAGTAATCCCATTATTTTTCTGTTTTTCTGAACCGAGTTGGCCAAAATGGGAAATGCTAAACAGAACAATACACATAAGAAAATGGGGATAAAGAAAACAAAAACTTGACTTTTACTTTGTGGTTTTACAAAGAGATAATTCACTTTTTAAACTCCGGACCTCATTCCCAAAGGCATAAATGTGAACCATGCTGACAAAATGAGTAACTTCTTGGATTCGAGCCCTATGGAAATAGGTGTACCACGCTTAAAGGTGAAGTTTTTACTATTTATAAGAATGAAATAGTAAAAGGCTTTTTATACTTAGAGAACATGGCATCAATAGAAAATTTACAAATTTGATCCTAGTTTCAATTTTTGGCCAATATCTCCATCTGTGGAATGCGAGAAGTAACTCATTTTGTTAGCACGCCTCACAAATTGTTCATGGTCTACTATGATAAGTAAACTGTCGCAACCTAAAGTGGAATTCACCCACGAAATTTTTTTCCCGCAATTCAAAACTGAAGGGCCCCGCTGCAAAAAGAAATTTTCATTACAGTCACTCAAATATTCTTTCACCAGTCTTTGATACAAATTTTCAGAAGAACAACCCGCACCCCACAAAGTAGACAAAGTTAAAACTCACCATTCTTGATAGTTGTAGTCAAAAGGTATTGTGATTTCCACTTGACTAGAAATCTCATGCCGAGAAACAATCAAAAAGAATACCTTTCCTCCATCAAATGTGTGTTGAACCTGCAAGTAATAAAAAGCATTAACCAACATGTTATTCCTCTCGAGTCACAAGTAATGAGCAAGATTATCATACACAAATCCAGTTGCTAGTCGACATCAACATATTTACTTTATGAAACATCATTCACTATTCAGGTCTGTCCTATGTATAATAGAAATAGACACACTTTTTTCATTTGTACAGTCATTTGATAAAACAAACAGCAAAGCATACTACATTACATGCAAGAACGATCACCCCACATTCAAATGAAGACACTAAAAAAGAATTTACACTAGTTATTCTGAAATTGAATCAAGACTACTTTCACAAATTGAGGATCTTTTCTCATTTCATTCACATTTTACATAAGACAGTCTAAACCTGCTTGATACCTCAGTTGATACAGGTACACTAAAACAAAACAAAAAGAAATACAAAAGAAAATTTTTAAGAAATCTAATCTCAATCCAACCTCAGAGTTTGGAGAGCATGACCTCCGGATGAAACGAGACTCATTGCCATAATTCCGAGCATCTACACATAAGTCAACATCCAGTCTTGAATAAAACAGAACAAATGGTTGCAACCTGTAATAAATGGGGAAAAAAGAAGAGATAAATACTAAGACAAGCAACTGGTGGATAAAAACAATAGTTGCACACAGTACAATGGGGGGGGGGGAAAGAAGAATGAATCAATATTTCAGCAGAAGGCTGCTTGACACTCAAGTATGGATTTCTTTCATCTGCTCCACAAAGCCAGATACTAAATTACAAGGGTAATTACTCTGCAAGCCTTCAGTTTTCGTATTGATCTACAAGGAAGTATCAGGCATCGTGGCCTGCTGGTGCCTTTCCTTTCTTTCATGGGAAACAAAAATCAATTTCCTCAGGCCTGAGAAAAACACAGGCAGGGGATAATGTGCATTTGCTGTAGAGAAAGAGTGAAGACACTAAAACTCTTCCCGCTTTGATATCTTCCTGCTTTGATATCTTCCTGTCTGTATTTTGTTTGATTTTCATTTCACAAGTAACTGACACTAACGAAAAGCTAATGAAACCAAAACAAAGAAAAACATATTTAATTTCTTTTAAACAGAAGAGAAAAAAAATCCCCTGTAAATCACCGGTACAAATCAATTTCTTACCCTGACCCCTCATCCATTCCATAAAAAAATTCGGAACGTACACATTTACCCAAGAAAATATATAAACTATAAAAGCTCAAAAACTTACTTTTTAAAACAATTCACGTAAGAATGTTCCTTGTCATAGTCGTGTCTGAGCATCACTTTGCCTTTATACTCTATGATCGCCTGACCAGCAGGGATCTCTTGAGTGGCCCTCAGACCCTGAAAGAGAAACATTTAGTTTTAGAAAAGAGTTTTACAGCACTTGCAGCATAAATTGGTCTTATTAGGCCCCCACATCACTGCAGGTGGTACTACAGAGTTACATACAGAGAAAATGAGGAGGAAAGATAAGGACGACAGATGTTTGATACAAAATAAGGAGCATACCACACTAGAAAACCCGCCAACCATCCACGAAAAAAGAAAAACTGTTCACTACCTTGGACTTAGAACCAAAGGTAACAGTACATTTGAAAAAGAGATAGAGACAAACTCGAGTGCAGATCCACATCTTGGAATACAAATATCATCCCAGCCCACCATCAGGTACACACGTAACAGACTCCAGTACCCGTCAACATGATCTACTTTTACTCACACCTCACTGTACATTTTTTGTTTGTTTTTAAAACAATTAACCCATTATGAGTATATACAGCTCCACTCTTACAAACTGACATTGCATCCCAAAGATCACAACAGAGGAAAACCAATATAATATTCAGCTCTGAGAGCAAACAACCATTATGATCTCCTATTAGAATTATGAGGAAAACAGTTGTGTAAGCTTGAGATATTACTGTCTCATATTTTTACTATGCAAAAGAACGATTTAAGCCAAGAACATACCTAGAATAACTTCAGAAAAATAATACCATAAGAGTCATGACGTGGCAGAATCAGGCGCTCGTCAATTTTTGGGCACATAGGGTTATTGGTACCATCTTAAAGCCTGTTCATTTGCCTTCCTTTTGGTGAAAAAAAATACCCATCTACCTTTAATAGAAGTAGGGACATTTGCGATTGAAGGAAGTTAGAAGCGCCTGGTTTCAAAGGCAAAATTAGTGAGAAAATGGCTGCCAAAGTTTGGTAACTTCCATAGCCTGAGAGTCCTTGAAACCTGAAAATTTACATTTTTTGTGCCCTTAATTGTCTTTCAGTAAAATCCACACCAAAATGTGTTTTTCAATGGACATAAATGGTGTTGAGCCCAAAAAAAGAAAACAAGAAAAAAAAAATGGCCATCGGCCAAATAAAATGCCAATATCTGTGATTTCATAATTTTGACGAGCGCTAGAGTTCTCCACGATGCCTCACATGTGGTAATCTAAAATAAGGAGTTAACAGAACTTGTAGAAGTCCTGTTTTAAAATACCCAAACAGTTCAAATAGACAAAGAAAACTTACATTACAGTCACTTCTTGGGAAAAAGACAAAAAAGTGATAAAAAAAAAATTCTACTTGTTATCTCTCAACAGATAAAAGCTGTTGACAGACCTAGTTCTGCCTGTCAAACACAGCATTAGACAAGAAAGTAGTCCTCCATAAGTTTCTATGTAATGAATCATATTTTGTGTGGTCTTCTAGTTTTTGTGAGAATATATTTAAACGTACCTTTCTATTTTTCTTTACATCAGCAACACACGTAATGTGAGACTGAAGCTGGTCAAGCAGCATTTGCGACTCGTCAACCTGTGAAAAAAAATTAAAACAAAATTTCAATGATAAATCAAAGAGCAGATATGAAGGAAGGACACAAAATGCCTCAGTTGAAAGTAAAAATATGTCCCAGATATTCAATCAATTGCCCAATACGTTGTGTTTCTGACCTTTGACACTAACCCAGCATCAACATATTAAAAATAAGCATCTGATAATAAAGAAACTATCAGAATCAGTCACTCAGACTAGACAGTTCAATAGTAACTTCATTTCTAGAATGCTAAATAAAGAAATGTCAGTGCATGCTTGTAATTCAGTAAACATTACAATGAAAATAAAAACAATCCTCACTGCACAAATCATAATAAACCTACATGAAGCTTTGAAATTCAGAATTTACAAACCCATCATTCACCACTTGCAAAAACAAAAAAGATATGTTCACTGTTGCATTGCTTGATTCAACTAAACAGAAACAGAAAGAAGGAATCCTTAAAAACAACACAATCTAATAACCTCATTGGGACATTTTGAGCCAGTGAGCTTCTCTAAAACTGATGAGAAAAAAAAAAAATTATTAAAAAGAAACAAGTCATAATTCTACATTAGACTTTCAGAAATTGACTTTGTATTATATAGGGGGAACCCAACCATAGTGCAAGGGTTGGCTACAAATACAACCGTCACATTCAGACTGAGCTTATACTTACTGAATGGGTCACAAGGTAACTACTGAAGAAGTCTTTGACACCAGCACTGTATTGGTTTTCATGGGCATATTCATAGGAATCAACCCATGGACTGAAAAGGAAAAAATTAAGAAGACGATTAAAAATAAAAATCAAGAAAAGATAGTCGTGTCTTCAAGAATGTAATAATGTAGAAATTGTTCAACATGTATTTCAAACATTATTTCTTTCATCACTGAGTACACATTGACTAAAGAGCTTAGAAATGCTATTCCAGTAAGATAAACAATAAGCCAGGGGAACCTTGCCATAATTCAAATGCTACAATTACAATGTTATTTTACAATATTTTCAGTATAATACAAATACTTGTGCATTCATACATACAGGCAACTTATTTTTATTTCAGCACAATAAAGCATATTAATTAAGACAAGCTTCCAAAACTTAGAGTAGAAAGGGTTTGAGAAATGGAGTGCCATACCATAACTGTATCACCCCTTAACAGTTTTAGACACAAAAAGTGGCCTACGAAAAAAAACGAATTTGCTGAGCCATCTGAGCTTTTACTCATCATTACACACAAAGAGGCGGGAAGTACCTTTGCAACCCCCCCCCCAAAGAAACCCCAATAAAATACTTAAGCACAGCTGTAAAACCCAGAACCACAAAGCCATTACTATGAAGAGCAACTTTGAAACAACAAGATAAAGTTCATACCTTAAATTGCTGTTCCATGGATCACCATTCAATTGGTCCAAGGTTAGGAGAAGTCTGTTTTTCGTTTTTCCAGTTTTCATCCTTTGAGAAGCCGTTTTAAAGATCTGAGGACATTAAAGCATCATACAGGCATTTTAAAAAAATGTATACATTGACTTTTCAGAAAAGATAAGTACGACATGAAGTCTACTACATTGTGCAAAAATACAGTAGATCTAGATGAATGGGAGGCAAAGCTGCCAATTTATCGAAACCATGAAACAAGACTCTACTCATATGGCGGGTCGAGATGGTCTGCACTGGCAAAAAAAAAAAAACCCCCTCTAAACCCTTTTCACACATTTGTCTGAATTGAATAAATTCATGCTAAATACCTAACAATGGTAATGGACACCATTACAGTAGACATATAGGCTTCGCCTTCATTATTATTCGCCAATCTGGTCTTGGAAGTTCACAATTTTTCTTAAGCATTGGCAAATCTGTGTGGAGAATTGCTAGGAAACAGAATAGGTATTTTCTGACACTAAAACGGACTTCCATACTCTAATTAGACCCTCAAAGGCATATTAATAATATGTTTTTCACATACTTATATTCTAAACAAATAACAACCCAATCAATCACAATAACAGACTCGAGCTTTACCTTTCTTGGTTTCGTTGCCTTTATGTTTTCTTTCTCTTTCTTCCCAGCTTTCTTTGCCTTTTTCTGAATACCCGACTTGCCAACTTTCAGTTTCAACTGCGATTTCTCTTTCACTTTTCCTGCACGTTTCTGTCGTAAAGCTTTCTTCTTTCCCACAGGCAACTTCTTCCCCATTGACTGCAAGGCATTTGTAGCTTCTTCTGGATCAGTATCCGTAGCACTTGTGTCTGATAACACATTCCGCGCTGGAGAGAAATAATACAGTTTTGAATCTTGTACTTGAACAACACGGAAATTCACATTTGATGAGGAAAACAAGTAATGTTTCACAGAGAGACAACATACTTCTAAAGAATACAACATCTGACGATCATTTCATACAACGACACTGAAAACTGAGGTTTTCTTTCACCGACACTGCACTCAAAAACTCTACAATACAAGGTAAGTGATTCATGAACAAATAAGAGTTGCACATCAAATAAACTGATACCCAGTCCCCTTTAAAGGATCATTCGCCATTTAAGTACTGAAAAGGAACCCAGTGTATACAGCATCAAACCATCTAGAAGCTGTAAACATCATCTCAGTCTTCAAACAGGAGAAAATGTACATCTGATCTGTTACTGCAGTGCCCCACAATGAGTACTTGACTCAAAACAAAAGAACCTCCCCATCCCAACAATCAAGAAAAAAATAATTCTACTTTCATACAAAGAAGCATAATGAAACAATGAAACAAACAGATTGACAAACAAACGTGAACTACCTGCTAACTCCTCCCGCTTCCTTTTCTGCATGACCTTGGCTTGTGCAGCATCAAGTATTCTTGGCTGACACTGTTCACAGAAGTAACTATCAGGAATGTTGTTGCGATCGACTCCCATGCAGTCAATGTGTTGCCACACACTGGAAAATATAAAATCAATTTCAGACTTCAAAGTCTCAAATACAAAAAGGTTTGGCGTACAGTAAATATATAAATTATGCAATACAAAGTGACGTCAATGGAATCCTCATATTTCTAGACTTTCTACATAAAAGACACTCTTTCCAAGCACCTAATATCTATTTCACAGTATGAAGACAATACTGTACTAGCAAGTGTACTTTTGAAAATCCTAATCCAGCAGCTGCATTCCTCCATGAAGCTCATATGCCTCCAGCAGAATGGGGCCAAAATGGACAAGTAGGGACAGGCGACAGCAATGACTACATTTTGTCTTCTGAAAGACATCAATTCAAGATAACTAAAATCAATTGCTGACAATAAAAAATAAAAGTGAAGATTTAAAAAGTTTGATTACTATACACCTTAATCAGTAAATGTCACCAAAAAAAAAAAAAAAAAGTTTTCACACTTTTCAGAATGAAGTAAAATAAAAGGACAAGTTCTGAGAGAAAAAAAAAACAATCAACGGAAATCCCACAAACCTGCACTTGTCACAGCAGATCATGTAGCCATCATCGTGCAGGTATCCACAAATGCAGCGCGTCACACTGTCCTCCACAATCTCTTCGACCACAGAGACAAGAGGAGTGGTCTTGACTTCTTCCTCCATCTGGACCACCCCATTGACTTGCAGTGGAGACGGAGGTCTCGGTGAAACCGGCCGGGGCGGTGAAGGGGGCGGAGGCATGCCATAGTTGTGGTCCTGAGAAAGTCATTCAGATTCATGAAGTTTCAACCGCTGTAACTTGACTGTGAGCGCGCGCGCATATACATGTGCATGTGTGTATGTGCATTGGAGTGACAAGGGAGTTTAATCAAATCGTAGAGTAAGAAATAACAGACAACACGGAAAGTCTTTAAAAAACAAATACAAAACACATTATGTCCGGAGTTAATATGTAGTAAGATACAAGAGAGAACATCAAATAAAAAAAATTTTTAAGTAAAAATCTATAGACAGGACAACTTTTCAAATGAAAAAAAAAAAATCTATACCTGGTAAGGTAAGCCAAAGTATCCTGTACTGTTTTGAGGGAGGGTGCTGGGTGGGGGAAGAGGTCGTTGATACGTATGTTCTGGCAGTGGAATGTCCAAGACATCAGCACTGAGGAGGAAAACAAAAAAATACAATTGGTGCCAAATTACGTAAGATTCTACACAATTTCTTTGAAATACTTTGGGACCCAAAAAAAAGGGCCTCAGGGCAGAAAAAAAATACCATGTCAAGCTGTAAAAGTAAAGGACAACATGGGGGAAGTAAATATTTCAGAAGAATATACTACTACTGCTATCAATCCAAATTAACTGCTGTAGTAAAAAGAGAGGAGAGAGAGGAACATGCTAGATAATGGAAGGACAAACTATGTACAAACCAGATTGCAACTCTAAAATTTCATGGTAAAGCATTCATAAGTGGAACTAGTCGCTGTACATCAAAATCTTCCACTATAAAGAAGTGTCCGCCAGTCCGGACAGGGTTATAATTTTGAAACTCATGAGCCAATACACGGAATTTTGGAGAAGCATGCTCCTATACTCCAGAATTGGTTTCACCGAATGGGTTGCAGACTTTCGCTTGGAGGACTATGCTAACATACCTAGACCTATTAGTGGTGAAGACAGTAGTAAGGCAGGGTTGTCCTTTTCAGTTCCTTTACAGAGTGGGTGGATTAGATTATAAGAAAAAGACCTCCCCAGGCTGTTATATTGGGATCCAACAGATCTCAAGGAGTCAAAAAAAGGATCATGTTGGCACTCTAGCACTTTTTTTCAATAGCCATTGCTAAATGAAAGAGAAAAGAAAGAATCTTCTAACTAATTATTAGTTCAATGAAATGTGTGAGCAGAAATTTACCTGGGTCAAGACGGTGGTGACAGCACTTGGTATCATGAAGTAAAGTTAAAGGAAAAATTTTAATCTAAAATCTCCACAGATACTCATGAACGAGAGAAAACAGAAGCATGAAATGCGGAAATTATTTGCTGCAGAACCATACTCTTACACCATTCTACTGCTCTGCTATGTTACACCACCAAGTATAAAAAGGATTTAAGTGAAAAATCAGCGGAGAAGTGAAAGTATTTTATACTCTTTCATTCCATAATTATAACTGTAAAAGTTCATTTAAAAGAATGTCTACTTACTCAGTGTATGATGAAGATGCTTCATCTCCACTGCCATATTGTGATTCTAGGCCTCCATTGGGCTTGACAGCACCAACTCTCAAAATAATGCTCATCTCGAGGGTACCAATTCTGGACGTTGGGTGGCTACATCGAATGGTACTTTTTCACCCTTTTCCAACATTGCAGAGCAAACGTTTTGAAGAAGCACTGAAAGAAAATAAAAATATATCAATGGTCATTAAAAATGAAAATGTTATGAGATTGAGAAGCACGGAAACAACTCTTAAAAATATGTGCATCAACTGAAGAAAAGTCATCTGACTTACGTTGAAAAACAATAGTCAGTGCCAATTTCATGATGATCAATAGAGGACCTCAAACTTATCATGTTGATATGTCGAGGCTCCATAATTGACATTGTGAACCAAATCCATAGCTGCTAATTTTTCAAAACCAAAAAAATGGCCTCTACTACACAGCAGGTCAAGATGGTGGGCAATGGACAAATAACCCCTCCCCAAACAGTTTTACTTTTCTGCTTTCAGTAGATTCAAGGTAAACATTAAATAAGGCTTTTGTCTCATTGTTATTTGCAAATCCAGTTCTCATGTTTATTGGCAAGTCAGTGAGAAGCAATAGGCCTACTAATAGTATATTACTAGTAAACAGAGGATACATATTTTCCAACCAAAAAGCGGACTGCAGCACCCAGTCGTTCTTCAAAATCAACACATTTTTAAAGTACTGATTGGCAGTGTCAATCATTTTAAAAAATACAGCAATATTAAACTTTTGAAACTGTCATGTCAGGAACAGCTGAAAGGTCCGCATCCACTAATCACTGATAAGTGAGCTTGTGGCTTCCAATATACACATTTTGGAATTTTTAAGCATAAGTTGAGTATTTGTTCCCGTAAACCTTTAACTTTAAAAACAAAAGGCCCAATTATCCAATAAGCGCACTTACAATTAAATTGAAGTTGTAGCCGAACACTTTTCTCAGGATTGTTCGATTTGACTTTTCTTTCACTTTCCAAACAAAACTGAGTGTGATCCCTTAGTCAAAGAACAGTTTTTTTTAAAATCCCAACCTACACTAACAGTTATTTCGTACCAACCGTCCAACCTCCATCAACCTGTTGACATAAATTAAAAATCCTTTACTACCCATTGGATCTATATATCATTTTCTAAAGAACAATAAAATGGCTGAAAGAAATGAATTTGAGGGGTATTTGTTGTGGGCTTTGCCTTTTGAAGTTGGGCATACTTAAAACCATACATTTTTTTTCAGAGAAGGATAAAACTTATAATTATGAAATAAAAATTGACCATAATTGTGCAATAGTGTCATGCATCATGTTCACAAAGCCTTGTGCAAAACGTGGATGAAATTTCAGACATGTGGTGTCCTCCCACTGCCTTAATAGCTTTGTGGATACTATAGGAAACTAACAGCAGCACAAACATCAAGACCTTTTAGATTTTTCCTTTTTCAAGCTGTAAGAACAACCTACACAATGAGTCTTCAGAAAAAAATCAACAAAAAATAGTTTTTAAAACCCCCACATTACACCAGAATAGAGGCAAATGTCCCCATTTATATGCATTACTGCTGTCTGACATGGAGAATTACCCCAGGCCTACAGACAAGCAAAATGATCAAACAAATTAAGCTTATTTATTACATAAGTCAGGTAAGACAGCAAAACTAATAATAGAAAACGGTTTTGGAAAAATATGCTCTGATAAACAATCATGGTAGCCTAAATCCTAATCCTTAAATACAATTAGCACTGGGAATAGTAAATCCCATCGACAACAACAGGACATACAGTTTGGAAATAATATATATGACCATTTCAACAAGAAATAGTAGACATCCTGAGTAGAAGTAAGGCCATTTAATTCTAAAGAATAACATTAAGAACTTTCAAGAAGCTTAAAAGCTGCCCTTAGGCCTGCCAAGAGCATTGTATAGGATCAGCTGTACTTTCATACCATCACTCCAATCTCATTCTCAGGAGAATTGTACGGCATTTTTCTCTCTAACAATTTTGAGGGTTATATTTTATAATGACTAAATCTTCACTAGTAGCAACGGTCAAGTGGCACAAATCATAACTCATCAGTTCTGACATACTTCAAGATTTAGATAGCCAAATAGGAGGAGACACCAGAACACACGTGTGTCCATTGTGGGTCAGAGAAGCATCGCTAATGTCACACACATCCAAGGGCTTACACAGGCCAAGTGAAACAAGAATAGCGAATATATAAATGATGCATAGATATATCTGCCTTTTGGTTAATCATGACCAATATTCTTGTTGGTTTAGAAAATAAAAATAATTTTCCCATAAAGACAAAGAAGATTTTTTTGGAAGGTGCTTTTTTGAAAGCTGTCATCTTCCTTTATGCATCAAATTATATATATATATATAATATATAATATATATATTTTTTTTCTAGAAGCTAAGATATTTATTTTGAAGTAACAAAATGTGAACAAGTAAGAATTGAGAAAAAGGTGTTCCAAGTTACACAAAATGGAAAATAGATTTTAAAAAGTATATAAAAAACAAGAAGCAGTCATGAATGATATTCTAAAAAAAATGGTTGGGGGGGGGGGGTATCCCCTGGTATGCACCCCTTAAAACCGACCAGACTTGGACCCTACCAGCTATTTTTGTCTACAATCTTGGTTCAAGGTTTAACTAAAAGTTCCTGATTCCCTCAGACCCGCTCACCTTTGATTTATCAACTCTACTGAAGTAATCTGAAGATTGTAACGTGATAAAATGTCATCATAAATTGCTCTTATCAGCGACAAATAAACCCATGTAAGCGTTTTCTGCAATGTTGAAGAACTTATAATAAGGTAATATAAATCATAATTATTACAGTCGACCCTGATTTTGCGACCACCAACTGTCCAAAACGACCACTTCACACCTTGTGTTTTTTAATTGCTTTGGGGGGTTTTCTGCTGTTTTTTTAAACATATAAATAATGAAACTGTCCAAGACGGCCACCTGTTCAACGCAACCATATAAGCTTTAAATCTTATCAAATAACTGCCCCAAAAAACTGTCAAAGGCAGCCAGTAAAATTTCGAATCGTCCAATGAATATAACCCAAAAATCCCTTTTCGCCTTCCTTTCAAATAGCAAAAAACCCCAAAACAACAACAACAACAAAACAAGCACTTTAATGGAACTTATAATGGCAGTCCTAAGCCTGCACCCACCTTCGGCTGGAACCTCAAAAACTATTTTTTGGGTTTGTTTTTTTCAAGTTCATAAAACCTGCCAAAAACCTTTTTTCTCCAAAATGAGTGGTTTGTCTTGGACAAGTCTGCCTATATCATTTATATTCTTTCAACCATATTTATAAACTTGTTCATTGCATAAATCTGCACGCAGACATGATCATGGGGGCTCTCGTGGTCTCGATGTTATAATAGTATTTGCCTCTCATTCAATGTGTCCCGAGTTTGAAGCCAGACAGCAACGGAAAATTTTCTTCTCTAAAATTTGTTTATCTTTTCGCCTTCTTTCCTGCTCTATAACCATGTTCTATCGTCTGCTTTCGTCTCCACTTTCTACCCCCTCCACAGGGCTCCGGACTCTTTCTGCAGCCTTTCTAATACTGCTACTCCTCGGTTCCTTCTCACGGCTGTCTTTCATCCACAACCCTGATCTTATGGTAGAAAAGATCTAACACCTAGCCTTCTAGGATAATGGCGAAAAATCTCGAAGGTCCAGTGTGCAAGTTGCGCACGTTAAAGTTTAAAGATCCCTTGATGGTCCTATAGTTGATAATAGTAGGCTTCGGTCGCCACCCGGGCAACATTTATAATTTCCTACCAACTGAAAAATGCTTAATGTGTCCCGCATGCTCATACGACCTTTTATGCAGTTGTGAGTGCTGTAAAAAGCTTACCAAAACCTGACACAGGCTTGCCAACATTTTTCAAAACCCAACCAGGGACACCAAACAAACCACTCCTTACTTAATAATAAACAAAATGAAATTAATCGGAGACTGGTTTTAGTGTTGTGTATCTGATGAGGATCTCAAATTTCAGATAGCTGAATGCCAGACAATCCCAAGAAATCCAGGACTGTTGGAAAGCCTTCTCAAATTCCAGATAGCTGAATGCCAGACAATCCCAGGAAATCCGGGACTGTACTGTTGGAAAGCCTGTCTACATATTCGCTGACAAACACACATGTATTTAATATATTTTATTATAGATGACCACTAAAACCTTTGCAAATAAATTGACTTTCTGGAAAATATTAACATGATTAACCCTCAAACCAAAACAGCAATAATGAGAAAACATAAATAAAGGCCAGGGGCATACATCCCCAAAACCTCAACAGACCGTCTCAAAAACTAATAATTTGCCATGGTTAGTTAAAATAATGAGACAAAATTCTCATAACAGATAAAAATTAACCCCCAAAAAGTGCTGTACAATCAATGAGTGAATTTTTACTTTCACTCCAGCATGCAAATTGTAAATGCACTGGTTTTAGACACAAGATCACCATAGCCATATTTGGCTACAGAACACACACATGGCCTATGGCCAACTAAGTCTAAGCAATGTTGCAAATCATTTGTTTTCAAGCAAATCTCAAATCTGCTAATACTACAAAATATCATAATTTATATGACCCAGTATGTATAGTATGTATGTCCCTTGAAACCCCCCAAGGTTTTTTAAAACGCACGAAATGATATTACGTTATCACGCTTCCATTCATGTAATAATAGCATCCTTTAATAGTTCAAACAAAAATCACCAAATATTTCAAATCTAATGATTTGTGACAAATAAAAAGTCTTAAGTTGTGTAAACCATAAAACTGAACAAGAAAAGTGCTAATTTGAGCGTGAGACAGGAATGATAATAAAATTTGACTCAATTGTATAATTGTCTTGGCCTACCAGAGCATAACATGAGACAGGTATGATACTGATAGTAAAATAATACAGATAAAATTTACCAAAGGTAGTGCATCAGGGTGTGGCTGAAGTCGACTCTTATCGATTTTCAACCACTAAGAGATCTTTTTAATGTTCCCAACTTGCAAACGAGACCTCCGAGATTTTTTGCCCTTATCAAGGAAGGCTAGGTGTTAGATCTTTCCTGCCATGATCAGACATAAGATCTGGGATTTGGCTGAAAGAGA